ATGGAAAATGCAGATTAGGCTTAGAAAATTAAATTTTTACCTACAAAATCAATGTGGGCCTACTGGTATGAAGATGCCAAAATTATTCGAATATAGCTAATATTCAAGAAAACAATCTAATAAATTTCGTGTGATACTAGATTCAACTTAGTGTATTTCAAATGAAATAACATTACATTAAAGATATTATTCACAAACTATATAAATAATAAAGATTGAAGACAAAGCACTACCGCAAAAGATCTCCAACCACATCAATAACAATCAGAACACATCCAGTAAGATTACAAATTTCCTCTTCCTAAGCACATTAGTTTATAGACCTAATATGATTGATAAAAAATTCAAATCTTATAATAAAAATTTAAATACCTAATTATTATCTTCCAGATTTGTAGTTTCACCACAAAACTAACACAATGAATCGCACCGATTTTCAAATAGAACTGAGAGTTTTTCAGAGAGTAGTTACTCTCTGTTTGAACAGCTGGAGGTGACTAGAGTAATTTGCCATGCAATGTTCAGCTAAGCTTGACTTCCCAATTTCTATATGAAGCTAATTTTAAATGCATCCTCAACTTTTGATGAAACACCTCAGATTCAAAGAAAACGTAAACAGTGAATATTTTTGGTGATTAAATCATTGTTTTTTTTTATTTGGTTTTTGTATTCATTGATCAAAATTAAATAAGTGGGCTCTGTGGAATATCGAACCATTATATAACTGACTATTGCCGATTATTTTGGGCGTTTTAAAAATAGGTTTTCGAACTTTTAAATCTTCAGTGTAGAACATAAATTGATCCTTGTCATTAGTTAATGGATGTCATTAGAGAAATTGTTATTTAAAAACTATGTACTTACCTTTGCAAGCTCTAGAGGAATCTTGTAAATAAAAAATTCAACTTGCTTAAAATTATTTCACATAATTTGCACAATTTATTATTAAAAAATACTACTAAAGTTCTTCAAAACAACATAAACGTCAATTGGAGCATTTTCATTTCCGTCAATTCACTGAAGCCGATTTTCAGCGATATACAACCATTTATGATTCACGGATTCACGACACTTCATACTGTGTGATGCAGAACGTCATTGGCCACGGCGAACCTTCACTGACGTCACTACAAATTTAAAATTGATACCAACCGCGATAGGAACTGGACCACACATCTTACTGCCTGAACTGTGTTGTTGTCTTTCGTCTTGTTGGCGTTTACAAAAAGAATTATTTTACGAGGACGTTACGAATAATTTTATTATAATCTAAAAATGGTTTACTTATATAAATTGTGAGGCATAATTTAGGGATACAGCTAAATATTAAATAGACAATGAGTTAACACTATTTTTTCTTATTTTTTTATTCAAAGAAATAAATAAAAAAATTAAATTTCCAAGCTGTTTATAGTTTATTATTCCATGAAAATAAGCTAAAAAGCACTTAAAAAATCAAAAAATTACTTGGCGCTATTTTTAACTGGAATACTTGGGGATGTCGATAGAAATAGCGTATTATCTCTTGGTTATCGAAACTTTTACTGCGTCATATATTTCAGCAAAAAAAGAGACTTTTTTCATTAATTTCAATATTTTGGCAAATCTACGCATTTAGATAAAAACGTACAACAGACGACTTTCTTGAAAATACTTTCTCTTTAAAATGAGATTTTCTAAATTAAAAAATGTTTATAAATAAAAAAGTTATTGTAAATAAACCTGAAAGCATATGTTTTTCAATTGTTTATATTTATTAAAATAAACAATAAAAACATTTAAAACAGTGGGTTTTGTGTAGGGGAAGGTGGTACACAGTGAGACAAAAAATAAATTATTGGCGGTATAATTTTTTTATCATCGTTAAGAACTGACAGCTTCAGTTATAATTTTAACAACTTTAACTTTAAAAACAATCTTGTACATATCTCAGTGTGCACTATCCGTGGTACACATTGAGACATGTTACTAGTACACAGTGAGACACATGATATATTCCATAGTTCGATAATAAAAATTAAAGAAAACATAAGAGCTGGTACTGAAATGAAGGCTAATTGGCCTACGTCTAAATGACCAAAATTTATTGTAAGATGCTGGCAGCCAGAACATATCTGACGTCTTCTTTCTCCACGAAAGGAATATCAGGACAGTGGGAAATACATAACACGAGGCACCTATTTTGTTGGTTTTGCGCATAAAATTGACCTCACTTCTGAATTGTTACACGATACAACAAGTCCCACGTAAAATATATTTTTGGACTTTTCTTTGAATCTCACTAAAATATCTCACTGAACTCTTAATATCCACAACACATGTAGCTGTCTGTTTCATTGTCGAAGAAACCAACTGGTTCCGTTTTGATTCGAGCGCATCTTTCTCAGGCGTGCTTGTGAGAATCCTACTTTTGTTCTTTTCTCTTGGTTTCCTATTAACTTTTCTTGCCTTGGCCTTAGGATACTTGATCCTTGTAACATCTCTGGTGAAATGAAATTTTTATTTATTTTTTTTTGTAAGAAAGAAAGTCGCTCCCTCTTACATTTGGATTGAAGGGACATATCTCTGTTTTTCAAAGTCTGACCGATATTTTGAGGTAAGAGAGCTTTATCGTGTGCTGTACCAACCAACTCAGCGATATTGTATATTGTAATGGACGCTCGTGGATGATTCAGTAGCCAAGCCTCACATGCAGCATTATAATATGACTTGAAAGGCCCAAAGATAGCCACATCTAAGGGCTGGAGTTTAAGACCTGGTGCTGTCTACTGCTGCTCGGATAATGGGTTAATAAATGAGCAAATATTTCTCGAATGGCTCCAGGATTTTTACAGTGTTGTAAAACCTTCAAAGGAGGATCAAGTTTTGTTAATCGTCGACAATGACAGTAGCCACTGTACATTAGAGACATATAATTGCTGTAAAGAACGAGGAATTATTATATTAACCATACCCCCGCATACATCGCATCCACTCCAACTGCTGGATGTAGCTTTTTACTCATCGTTAAAATCAGCGTATAACATTGAATGTGGCAATTATCTTCGAAGTCATCCTCATGAGCGTATCACGATATTTGAAATAGCTGAAATATTTAAAAATTCATAAGGTCGCGTAGGCACACCAGTCAAAGTTATTAAAGGTTTTGAGAATACAGAACTATTTCCATATAATCCTGAAAATTTTACCGATGAAGACTTTGCTCGAGGTGAATCATTCATACAAGAAAAATACACTAGACCAAGAGAAAGAAAGTGGATTAGATAAGGAGAAGAATAATAATGAAGTTAAGGGGAATAAAGAAAGTTCGACACATGACAAAAAGCTTGAAGTATCTTTTGTTGACATAATTCCACTAACACAGGAAGCAACATTCCGAAATAATGACATCAACACCAATGAAGTTACTTCTAAAAGAAAAACAGCGGAAGAAAGAAGAGCAAATGAGAAATAAAGGCAGCAAAAGAACCAAATGAAAAATATGCATCGAAGAGTCCAGTTCTTCGCGAATAGTTCCAAAAAGAAATTGTATAAGAACACAGAAGATATATCATCTGAAGATGATTATGATGACGATGACCGTGATAGGGACGTTAATGAAGATATTTGCACAATTTGTGGCGAATCCGTTAAAAACAGAGAACTCTAGATCCAATGCAGCATTTGCGGCCAATGGGCACACAAAGACTGTACCAGTTACGAAGGCAAATTTACATTTTGCATTTAATTATTTTTTAAATGGGGGTAATAGTGGCAGTGTTCTGTTTTTCGTATTTAGAGTTTGAAGTACTAAGGTTTGAAGTTTTATTTACATTAACAGTATAATTTTTATAGCTATGTAGCAGTATGAATAAACCACCCTTTCCATACATGTTTTTTTATACATTTGTATATAACCTTATAGATAAACGATTCTCATCAGTTCCTAGTGCTCCTGTTTCAATAATTTTCTTTGTTCAAAATCTTCACGATAATTTTATTTTTGCCTAGTGTTTTTTTATTCATTTCTTTCAGTGCTTTTTTTTCTGGTTCTTTCAAAACGCTTGTTATCTGGAAGGTTTTGATGTTTCTGAGCCTACTCGAACACAACTTTTGAGATTCTCAATACAAATCTTGGTCAATCAAATTAATTTTTGTTGAATATATATTTCGGCTATAGCGCTGTAGAGTTTGATGTGGAGCTATCGTATGCTTGCCTAAAATCTATAAATATACTGTGTATCTGATGAGTGAACTCCCATGTTTTTTACAGCATTTGTTGTTTTGTGAATATCTGGTCAATCGTCGATCTGTTTCTTCTGAACCCACATTGATAGTCGCTAATGCTATCTTCCACAGTTTGGACCGTCTAAAACAATTATTACCACGTCATGCATCTACTATGTTTTTTTTTAGTTTAAATTCTGTTGATTTAACAGTTATATTTAGCTTTTTTATCAGTGTCGTCCTTATCTTCCCTTGGAGCATATGCTAAAATAACTGAGCAGTTCTAGGGTTTGCTTTTTACTCTTAGGTAGCACATACGGTCAATTACTGGCTCGAAGCTGATGATACTTTGGACGAGGCTTTCTTTGACTACAAAGCCGGTCCTGAATTCATGCTTACTTTCCTGGTTTCCGCTATAGAAGACATGGGATCTAGTGATCTTCATGTCTCCACTGTCTAGCCATCTGACTTCCTGGATCGATGTGATATTCATTTTAAGTCTATTTTCCTGCACACATTGTTTGCCCCTGTTCTATACCAGCTTAGCACGTTCCGTGTACCGAAATTCATGTTTATTTGACTTTGCTTTTGTCGTTTATTTGGAACTCTTAATTGTTTATCAACGATTTAATATTTGAGAGGGTTTTTGTATATAGCAGAGCACTTTTCACGCTACGATTGTTGTTTATATTAATACTTTCTTCAACTGTTTATCACTCATAGAATAATAAAAATTAAATATGAAAAGGTGATTGATGAGCATTGGTAACTTAAAATAAATAAAACCCAGTTTTTTAATATCATTTTTAATAAATAAAATATATTCAACATATAATATAAAACACGTATATTACACTTTAAACTTAATTTATATTTTTGTTTTTTTTTTTCTGGTGAAATACATCAACAGTTTTCCAAGAAACTGCAAAATTTAAAGCTTAAAGCTAGGAATTGTGTCTAACAAAAAAGGACTTAAAAGTAAACATTATAAAGAATTGCGTTTAAATCATGTACATCCTACAATACATAATAAATCCAATAATTTTATATGTAACACTATATTATATAGTACATAAACAGTCTGTAACACACTCGAGAGTTGAGGTTTCTTCCAGAAATAGATGAGGGCGCAGCAAGATGAGAGGTTGTTATACCTATATATTTCGAAACATATTTGGTAAGTTGTTGGTTTATTTTTTTGACAGTATTTAAATTAAAAACCTTCGGTTTTATTACATTAGTGTACTCAATTAGTGTATAGCTACACACCTAAACCAAAAAGCAAAAGACATTGATCATTTTCGATAAATAGTTCAAATTCATAGTGATACATCAGTACCATTCTTGTGTTAAATGTTAATAATATTTTATTAAATATTCATTAATTGTTAACATTTGTATATAACAAATAACCAATAAATTTTAAAATAGAACAACAAAGAATTTACGAGGATATGGTATTGCAGTAAAAATTTGTGTAAGTCTAGTAGGAAGTGGAAGTAGTGGGAGTTAAGTATGGTTTAACTTCAGTGATAAGCAAAACGCAAGCCTCTTTGCGAGCGATCTATATTTATTTAGCATCTCATGAAACAAGAAGCACTAAGAACAGTCAAGGAAAATAAAGGAGGAAGAAAAATAGCTCTCGATCTTATATACATACCATTGCTTTGGTGCCTCATTTTATCTCCTTGTAAAAATAGTTAATTTCTTTGTTTCGTAAGTTTTTTTTCGATCTGTATTACCTTTTTATTTTATTTATTTTTTATTTTATTATCCGGTTGATTTCATTATGATTGGATAGCATTGCTTTGTATTTTGCTTTCGATAGATCTCTAAATTCCTCATTGCACAACTTTAACATTTTTATCTCAGTTCTCATATAAGAGCATTTCTTTGTTTGCCTTTTTCAGTGCGTATTTCATCATTCCCCAGATTTTTTCTATTTGTCTTTAATTCTTCTTCTTGCAAATCCAATAATCCCTCCTACAGCAAAATGTATTCTTACCAAGAAGTGTTCAGAACCCCAGTCCGCCCTTCTCGTACTCACTGACGTTTGTAATGATCTCTTGATGTTTTTGTTCTATCAAGAGATTGGCCTGTTTTATAGTTTTACAATCGGGGAACGATGATGTTCCCTTGTGGATCTTATTTCTCTGCAATTACGTGCTTTTTATTACTAAGCTGTTCTTTTAAATGTGAACCCTTTCAACCTTTGCCCATTTCCATTAGTATCTTAAGCATATTGTTGACTGATATTTTTTTCCTATTCTGAGATTACATTATTTGTGTTATATGTTGTGTCTTTTGCGTCATTGGTATTTTACTAAACTCTTCTGCTAATAATTCTAATATGTCTTTTTCCTCATGATCAAAGTCGACTGATGCTTAGATATAAACGATGCGTGATATGTTACAAGATTATTTTGGGGTTCACCACAATCAACTGTACAATTAGCTAATTGGTGAGCCATGGCCAGGAGATATTATACAATCTCATGTCTTTCTTAGTCTATTAATTATATTTTCATCTGTTTTTCTTCTGTTTGACATTACGAATCCTAAATACTCAAATTTTCTGTTTCTTTCTGCTTTCTGTTGTTAAGTATTCAGATTCGTTTACTTCTATTCTGAATGGAAACACAAATATATACACAAGGAAATATTTGATATTAAATAACATTAACATCGATAATAACCATTTCCAAGAGTCGAGAGCTCTTGTCGCGATAGAGGGGCACTTCATGCTCAGTCGTGGTGGTTATTTATTTGAGGTAACCAACAAGTGAAATCTAAGGCCAACGATCAGTGGATCTCAGGCGAAACCAGGCTTAATTTTTGCCTTCTCACGGCGTGCCATGCTCTTCCGGAAGTGATCATGCATTCCCTAGCTCGCTTTGGACCAAAAAGGGTCAGTAACAAACAAAACAAACTGCTAATATAGTTCAGCAGAAACTAAAAACACAAGAAAGCATGATCAGCGAAGCGCAGAAATGATTTAAATATCTGTTATATACCTGATAAGCACTCATCCTAAGAGGCTCGACAACAGACGATAAAGCCTAACCAAAAACAAGCTACATCAATTTTCTGATCATAGTATGGAAAGCTCTATCTATCTCGACGCAGATGGTTTTTTGAAAGATGGGTATGGGCTCACGTTTTTAATTTAACATAGGAAATTGCAATTGGACAAGATTAATAAAGAAAAAAATAATGATAAGGTTTTAATGAGAGGAAAAGTCAGTAGAATTTGAATATTACAAAAGAAAATAAAATAAATATATTAAACGGAGTGAAAACATGTGGAAAAAATAAAAAACTGAAGTTATAAAAGTCAAACTACAAGACAAGTTTATTTTGAAGATAATAAAACTCAATATTGTAAATCTCGACACAGTTGTAGAAGAAAAAAATAGTAAAGGTTAAGTGAAGGAGTGGTAGTAGAATAAATACATCTTATAAAAAATTCTACCAATTAAATCATATCATTTCTCTGATCTATTTTATCAAAAGTTACTGGATGCATGATACATAATGTTGTTCGGTATTCTCTCATATTATGTGAATAGAAAAAATGAAATTTCGACTATTTCAGAGATGGAACCGTTGTCAAAATACTGTGTCATATAAGACACCACTGTATTTTGAAAATGAGTTCTAAACGTTAAAAATATTTATTTTCTCCCTTATTTATATGATATGAATGTAGAAAATGATAAAAATATGTGATTTATATAAAAAATTGGTTTAGGTGTATTGCGATAGTTTGTCATAATGTATATCACGCATATAAAAATTTCAAATTAACACAAAATAACTACAGTTATTGTTAAGTACCAAACAATATTGATACAATAAAAAAATGTAGAATAACACAAAATATCTACATAACGATGATATAACAAAAAAATACAAAATATATTACAATAATTAATAATATATTAACAGATATTACCAAAAATAATTAATATACCACAGCTAATGTTAATAATGCCTGTTAAGTTTGCTTGATAAGTATATCATATATTTTTCATATTTCATCAAATATAAAAACATATCTTTTCCAGTGTACTTGTGAATGGGAATGCAAGAAGCGTGTATCAGTCATGGAATATCTAGAATATCATTAACAAAGAAGCGACTAGGTATAAATATTCTTGGAATAAGAGAAAACATATGCTTTCTCTTATTCCAGATTCTGGTAAAATAACAACCACACGATATAAAAATGGCGACAAAGATCTACAATCACAAAAAATGTAAATCCAATACAAGTGTGTGCACCAACACACAATTATGATGTAAGATATTGAAAAATTGTATGATTTGGAAAGGGTAAAAGCGTCTACAAAAAAAAAACATGAGGTCAATATCGTCATGGGACATTTTAAGGCGAAGGAAAACAGAATAGGATGTTACAGGAAAACATGGTCTGGGGTTCGAAACGAAAGAAGAGATGTTGGAATCATTGCTGGAAAACTACGAGAAGTATGATATCTTATATCTGCACAAAATTTTAAAGAAATGTGTGGCAACAAATGGAAACAATTATCCCAATTATTATGCATCTGATCACATAGGAAAAGATGCAACAAGAACGTTATCCTGGAAGAAGGACATTTTTTTGCTTAAAAATTTTAAGACAAAGGTATGAAAAATGGACTCCATCATTATAATAGAGCTATAGAGCATCATGCTATCCAACTAAATAACGGTCAGAACTTTTGTAATAAGTGATGAAGAAAATAAAGCGAAAAGTAGTTGGTCTTTATCAGATACCAGTAAGAAATGATATTTTTAAGTAAATGAACATGCAGGATTAAAATTGACGCACTGTTTTTGATGCGTTGTATGCCATAGAAGGAGATAAAGTAGCAAGAAGAAATACGAATTATTTCTCGAGGCCATGACTTATAGAACCAGAAACCAACCTATCATTATAAAAGATCTTTTTTTTTAACTATGACAAATTAGAATTCTATTTCATGTTTCACTACCACGAAACAATGGTCTTGTCAGTTGGTGAGCATCAACCAATCAACCAATTCTCTGACGTAATACATAGAAGATTGGCTAACATCCATATTCATAACTATTTGAAATAAATCAAGTACCAAACGCTGTAATTAATATCCCACGAAAAATTGAATGAAACATGTATTAAACTTGTTTCTGAAAGCTATATTGGCACACAGATTGTGTGCGAAACTTCAAGACTGTTTTTTGCATACAATATACCAAAGTTTTCAGTTTCCAAAGCTGCAATTGCCATTTGGATCGGCAGCGAAGTGAAGACATTTGTAAATTTTAAACAAGCCTATGATTCAATAAATAGAACAATTCTACCTAATATATTGGAAGAATTTGGCATACCATCAAAATTAATATGACTAGTACAAATGACAATGACAGAAACAGAAGCACAGGTATGTATTCTTTAATCTTGTTCTTGAAATTGTAATTAGACGGTTGACGGTGAGCGGAAATAACATACTTAAATCTACCCAATTGGCAGTATACGCAAATAATATAAACATAATGAGCAGAACAGTGAATGCAGCGGAAGAAGCCTACATTGAGTTGAAACAGAGTGCAGAACCAGTAGGGCTAGCAATAAATACAAATAAAACAAAACTACTTATACAAATCAGATCAAATAGACCGGCGCAACAACACTTTATTGACGATAATAGCACATGTGAATAGATTCACATACTTAGGAATGGATCTGGACGCAAGCAATGAAGAAGAAATACCGGAATAAACCGGAAATAAATAGAAGGCTTATGCTGGCAAATAAAGCCATTTCGCGATGAGCCACATAATTCAAATCGCGAGACGTTACACCGGAAAACAAAACTCCGGGTCTATAAAAACAATTATCAGTCCCGTAGTAAGTTATGGTTGTGAAACATGGGTGGTGACACAGAAATCTGCCAATGCAGTAGATGTGTTAGAAAAATATTACGTAGGATACTGGGCCCAACAAGTGAAAACAACAACTGGCGAATTAGCTATAATAGAGAAATATACGAGCAATATAGCGAACCAATTCTAGCACAGTCACTAAACTGCAGAGATTACGGTGGGCAGGGCACGTGGTCCGCATGCATGAGAATATAGAATCCCCAGAAAAATTACTAAATGCAACAAT